AACACCCAGTGATTAGCACCTTGCAGTTTCCTAAAAGGAAAACGCCCGTAGCTACAAGATGTAGTTGCCTTTATTCTAACTCATGAATATTGTTAATTCCATAAATAAGAGATTTATGTTTAGCAAAGGCATTTTATAGCATAGAGCAGCTCTTTGGCAAGGAGAATAGACAGCGAAATGTTAGCCATAGATACTGATAAGACTTAATGGCATGGACTCCCCAAAATTGTTTATCATACTCTCCAAGTGAAAAACCAACTGGAAAACCAAAAGAGGATGGGGTTGGGGAGAATGTGGTAGCAAACCTTAGGAACCAAATACAGTTCTAAGGTGATTTTTAAACAATAAAAACCAGGGATAATTGGATGTGATTTTTTTTTTTAAGCTTGAGCAATCAACAGTTTTTCTCTACTCCCATCCTGCCTGCAGGCCTCAGTTCTGAGCAGCATTGTTTGGTGGAAATATTTTGGCAGCTACCGTATATTGTAGGCTTAAAAGGGTTTTTAATCATCCCAGACGGGGGACATTCTATTTCAAACTAGGAGCAGGGTATGAAATGGGAGACTCATTAGGAACAAAAGCAGATGAGCTCCAATTAAACTAGCTGTTCTTTGGCAAACCCCTGATGTCTTAGAGGGTAACTTTGCTTACCTAAGGTTTACAGAACAAACAAGCGTGCTTCAGGTGTCATTATGGAAGAGCAAGTCAAGGCATGACTCACAACTGCTTTCTCAGTGAGATTACTTCTCATTTACTGTCGCCTGGAACTGTTCAAAATCAGGGCCTCCCTTTGGCACCATTGTTTTCTTCTGAGATAATTACTGAGGAGTGTTCAGGGCACCATGAAGTTCAGATCTCTCCATTAGATTTCAGAGCCTGGTTGCATAATAATTACACTCCTTTCACTTGCTTTATTTTCAAAATGACTTTTTCTAAACCCTGAACAGTGTCAGCCTTCAGATCAGTCACTTCTGGTTTCTTCTCTTTGTGTGGGTAGCTTTTCTCCTGTACAGGTTCTGCAATACACGTGATGCCCCACGTCTTCAGAGAACTCAGTTTCTCTGCCAGTCGTTCTGGAAAGAGTGAGTCCCAACACTGATTGCCTATTAGATTCACCCGGGGAGCTTAGACAACCACCCACGTCTAAACTCTACTCCCATATCTTCCAATTTGAATTGTTCAGGGATTTACTTTTTTTTTAATTTTATATTTACTATAAATTCTTCCCGTGGTTCTAATAGGCAGCCAGGGCTGAGAACTACTGACTTAAACAGTATACCTTCTACCTCGTTCATTAAGAGAACTTGGAAAGCCACATGCTAGCACTATTCACAACAGCCAAGACATGGAAACAACCTAAATGTCCACCAACAGATAACCAGATAAAGAAGCTGCAGTATATTTATACAATGGAATACTACTCAGACATCAAAAAGAATAAAATAATGCCATTTGCAGCAACATGGATGGACCTGAGGATCATCACTCTAAGTGAAGTAAGACAGAAACAGAAAAAAAAAAATACCATCACTTACATGCAGAATCTTAAAAAAAAGGATGCAAATGAACTTACTTACCAAACAGAAACAGACTCACATACATAGGAAACAAACTTCTGGTTACCAATGAGGAAGAGAGTGGAAAGGGATGAGGAAAGAGTTCAAGATTTGCAGATACTAACCACTACATATAAAATAAACAACAAATTTCTACTGTATAGCACAGGGAACTATATTCAATATCTTGTAGGTTTATAATGAAAAAGAATATGAAGTGGAATATATGTATGTATACAAATGACTGAAACATGCTGTACACCGGAAATTGGTACAACATTGTGAACTAAGTATAGTTCAATTAAAAAATAATAATAATTTAAAAAGAGAACTCAGGAAGCCAGACAGGCAGTGTCAAGAAATTCGCTTAGAGCATTTTCAGTGACCGTATCCTTAAAAACTGAGAGAAGAACTCGTTGCAAGACCTTGCCAAACTAAATCGCTTCCAGATGCTGCATTTCGTTGAACCATCCCCT